ATAGAATGCCTAGTTTTAGAGGAGGGTGGAACCTCAGTGGACTTGTAAGGATGTACATGCATCAAGTAACTGAACAAATTGGCCTGATGGTTGGTTTCATTACTTTTGTTACACTTGGAACATTCACTGTGCAGATGGACGGGAAGGGTGTGTGTGTGGTATTATCCAATAAAAATAACCAACATTTTTATAGCACTATGTAGCAGGCACTGTGCTAAGAGGTTTACAGTTATCTCATCTGATCCTCACAACATTCTTGGGAGATAGGTCCTATTATTATCCATCCTCATTTTACAGATAAGGAAACTGAGGCAAATAGAGATTTAAGTGAATTGCTCAGGGTCACACAGCTAATTGAGTGTTTGGGGCCAAATTTGAATTAAGGTCTTTTTGACTCCAGGACCAGTGCTCCATCCACTGTGCCATCTTGAAATGATTATAATGTAAAAACAGAAGATATCAATAGTATTTTAAAAATTAATAAATGGATTTGTTGGATGGTTTCGTTTGTTATTGTCCATATAAATGCTGAAGTTATTTCAATGGATCTGTGATGTCAGGGTTGTGGATATTCCCTCTAGTGGTGCAGACTGCAAACTACTCTTCATGGTTCTTGTCCATGTTCTTCCATAGAATATTTACTCAAGATGCTGGAGTTCTTCCTCTAGGATTTTTAAAATAATAATAATAATAATAAAAAGAATGTCTGCCAAATACAAGAGTTTAAGAACCTCTCAAATTGAGGATACCATGATAGGAGAAATGTTCTAAATGTTTTCTAAAAATATTCAGACTAGATGTAATTTTTTCCATTAATATTTATACCTTACCTCCATAGTTCTTTGGCAGTAACCCTTTCAAAGGAACTTTTTTCTTATACATTTTCAGAATAATAGCTCCTTTACAATATTATTTGAGTTACAGATGGCAAACTCAATTAGTCCCTGATGGCAAAAACTAAAATTTTTTTCCAATAATGAGATAGAGAGGGAAGGAGGGGAGGAAAAAAAAATCACCAGTGAAGAGAAGTTATTTGAATGACTAAACGAGATGCTAAGAATAACTTTTAAGAACTACTTTCAAAAACATGCTATATAAGGAAAATACTTTTTTTTGTTTTTCCATTTCAAGATAGGTTGCATGGTATAGTTCAAATTTATAAGCCACAGGCAGGGAAATTATCTAGGCAATTACCTTTTTTATTTTCATCTTCACCCATAACCTACCATTTATACTCTCACATGCATTAGATGCTAGCCATCGTGCCATTCTCCTCTTTTGGGCAGTATATTATTGATTGGAGCTTATTACAGCATACAAGGGTTGTTACCTTGCACCGTGCATCACTTAGAGTACATTTATCTTATTAATGGTGTGCTCTTTGATCAGACCTACACGACAGCCTTGCAAAGTGGCACTACAACAAGGACTGTTGGGGGAGGGGAGAGGTGAGCAGTAGGCTTCCTCTTCAAATGGCTGCTCTCCTAGACATGGGGGCACTAAAAGGAGACTCGTATTTTGATTCAATTTTTTAACATGAGAAATGTTTTCACTAAAGAAATTCATGGCTAGATTTCTGAAACTGATGAGAATGTTTTTCATTGAGACTGTCCCAAATGGTATTGGGATGGAAGGCAGAGCACCGGTGATGTATTGTGAATTGGGAGACCAGCACACATAAAACAGAGCACCTGATTTTCTCCTCCTAGGTTAATAGCTAAAGGTTTAATACAGTAAACTTGTTAATTTACGCAGAAAAGTAGCAATGAGTTGCTTAAATATTTGTAATAATTTGCCAAATGAAACACATATTTAGAAAACAATTCTGAAGTACAATACAACCTCATAACTATCAGATTGTCTAACATAACAGAAAAGTAAAAGGATGAACCCTGGAGGGGATGTGGGACAAAAGGTACACACTAATGAACTGCTGGTGGAGTTGTGAACTGGTCTAACCATTCTGGAGAACAATTTGGAACTATGCCCAAAGGGCCAATAAACTGTATACTTTTTGAACACTACTAGGTCTCTATCTCAAAGAGATCAAAGAAAAGGAAAAAGGACACATACATACAAAAAAACTTACAGCAGCTCCTTTTGTGATTGCAAAGAACTAAGAGATTGAGGGGATGCCCATTTATTAGGGAATGGCTGAACAAGTCACAGCATATGATTGGGACAGAATCCTATTACACTATTAGAAATGATGAGCAGGATCGTTTCAGAAAAATCTGGGAAGATTTAAATGAAGTGATGCAAAGTGAAATGAGAATAACAAGAACATTATACACGGTAACAGTAATATTGTAATGATGATCAACTGTGGAAGACTTAAGTTATTTTGATCAATAAAATGACCCAAAATAATTCCAAAGGACTCTTGATGAAAAATGCTATCCAGAAAGAACTAATGAATTCTGACTACAGATTGAAACATACTTTTTTAAAAATCTTATTTTGCTTGCTTTTTTTTTGACATGGCTAATATGGAAATGTTTTGCATACCTTCACGTCTAATGGGTATCATATTGTTTGCTTTCTCAATGGGTGGGGGAAGGGTGGGAAGGAGGGAGAGAATTCAGAACTCAAATTTTTTTTCCTTAATAGTATTTTATTTTTTTCCAATTAACATATAGTTTTCAATATTCACTTTTGTAAAATTTTGAGTTCCAAATTTTTCTTTCTCCCTGTCTTCCCTCCCCAAGACTGCAAGCAATCTGATATAGGTTATACATGTATAATCATGTTAAACATTTCCACATTAGTCATGTTGTGAAAGACAAATCAGAACAAAAGGAAAAAAAATGAGAAAGAAAAAATAAAAAACAACAAAAGTGAAAATAGTATGCTTCAATCTTGCATTGAGACTCCATAGTTCTTTCTCTGGATGTGTTAGCACTTTCCATCATGAATCTTTTGGAATTGTCTTGGATCATGGTATTGCTGAGAAGAGCTAAGTCCATCATAGTTAATCATCGCACAATGGTGCTTGTGTACTCACTTCACTCAGTATCAGTTCATACAAATCTTTCCAGGTTTTTCTGAAATCCACCTGCTCATCATTTCTTATAGAACAATAGTATTCCATTACATTCATATACCACAACTTGTTCAGTCATTCCCCAATTGATGGGCATCCTCTCAATTTCCAACTCTTTGCCACCACAAAAAAAGCTGCTATAAATATTCTTGTACATGTAGGTCCTTTTCCTTTTTATATGATCTCTTTAGGATATGGACCTAGTAGTGGTACTGCTGGATCAAAGGGTATGCACAGTTTTATAGCCCTTTGTGCATAAGAACTCAAATTTAAAAAAAAAAAGTTTTTAAAGAAATACTTTTTAGCTCTGTGATCTTTGAAATGCTACAAAATGAAAAAAAATATAATTTTTATTTACACATCTATTTTATTTATATAAATTGTATAAATCATTTTAGGATCAGGTGGTTAAAGTACCTCATATTTTTTTTTTTAAATTACCCTGGCATTTTGTAATAAAAACATTGCTTCATTGTCTGCGCCTATCATTCTCTTTCTTTCTTGCTTTCCCTTTCCCACTCCCAATCTTCAATCCCTCTTCTCTCTCATAAAAGTTTTCTGGTAGAATGCTTTCATTTGTCAACTGGAAAGTACAGCCATGGGCTTAAGGAACTAAATAAATCCCAAGAAAACAAGCAGCACCCTACCTGAGCTCTAATTGCTCAGTCAGGCAAACACAATGCTTTAAAGTCATACTGGCAAAAGTTTATTTTAAAAAAAAAAACAAACAATGCAAAGAGTCAACAACTCTCTTTAAAAAAAAAAAAAGAGACTCCAATTGAATTTGTAGAGCAGTCCCATGTGAGGTCAACCATTTTAAGTGAACCTCTGTTGACCGGCAGTCTCTTCTGAGGTTTTCATACCAAGAAATCAAACTGAATAACTAAAGCATGGGTAAACAAACAATCCTGGAAGAACAGTGAGGGGGTGGGAGCAGAAATCCACCACCAAGAACAAGTTTTTAAAAACCTCATTTGCATTGGCAACCCAATCGAGATTTGAACACTGACCTCCAGTGGGAGATGAGTCTTTCACAGTGTTAATTTCCTTGCCTTGTGCATGTTTTCTAATCAGTCTATTAAAGTCATCTGGGCCAGGCATATTGTGTACTTCACAATGCTGAGATCAACAACTTGATTAAGAAGCGAGGGAGGATTCCTCACTTGTTCTATTATGTAAAACTGGTTTCAGTAAGTTGCTGAAATTCATATCCAACTACCAGAAAGATAGAGACAGATGAGAACTCAGAGGGGAGCAATTTAATAATGGGGACAAACCATTGATTTTTGAAGGAAAGTTAAGGGTACTGAACATACTCATATGGCTTTTGGGTGATCTGTTACTTGGGAGCTATCACATGAAATATGGGTTTTGAGGGTTCACAGCAGAATTGGGCTACCTCTGGTTTCTCTGGAGGACTTTGCTGTGTAAACTATTTTACACAAGAGATGCTCTTTAGGCACTCTATTAATAGGGTAATGTTTGCCATTCTAGAATTGTAGTTGACAGTTTTAGGGGGTTTTACCTAACAGGATATCTCCTTACTGTGTGGGATCTCTCCAGCCCTTCTCCAATGCAGAATGATCCTGAAGCATCCATACACTTCATTTGAATTTTCAATAATCAGATCCTTCCCCCCCCACCCCCCCAGTAACTTAGAATTTAGAATCTTAAAGATGCTGGAGCACTGAAACGTAAATTACTTGTCCACGATTACACAGCTTGAATGCATCAAAGGCAGTACTTAAACAAGAGGTTTTTAACCATTTTTGTCATGAATTCCTTTGGCAGTTGGGTGAGAACTACGGACCCATTCTCACAATGTCTTTCAATGTGTAAAATAAAATACATACACACAATACTTTCTGATGTTTCTTTCTCTAACTGTATTTTACGAGGTGATCTAATCTATGACCAATGCAATTTTTTGATTTGTGAAAATGAATCCTCCTCAAAATTAGGCATTTTCCTCTCTTTAATCTGATTAAAATTACCAAAGAAATATATTTCAGCAAAACACATGGAACTTCAAGATTTCTTTTTTCTTTTTTTTTTAAACATAAAACAGATTTCCATTGCCCTCTGGAAATATTCTTTTTTCTTACTTTTCCAAATGGTGTGAAGTTCCATAAAGAGCTGTGTCCTTATGTGCGGAGATTGGGGATCAGGAGAATAATATATAAATTCAAATTCACTTCAGCCAACATTTATTAAGCACCTACTATGTGCCAGGCACTGTGCTGAGTGCCAATACAAAGACTGAAAAAACCCCCCAACATAATTCCTGCCCTCATGGGGTTTACAATCTAACGAGGGAATGTGATTTGTACATAAATATGTAACAAGTTAGAAAGTAATGAGAGAAAAGGAAACTTTACAGGAAAATCTGAGAAGGGAGGGATCCTTTCTAACTGGAAGGCTCTAGGAAGGTTTCATGGAAGAGCTGGGACCTGGGACCACTCACCCTGAAGGAAGAGAACAATTTCAAGAGTCAGAATTTGAGGCTGCAATATGTCTTAGCAACAGGGAACAATCAGTATGAATGCAGAGATGAGAGAATGTGCATGAGTGCATGAAAAGGTCAGGGAGTATCTAGGATTATATCAGGGAATATCTAGTTCATCTGGAATACAGATTGCATAAAGGGAGAGTGAAATAAGGCTGGAAAGATATGCTGAAGACAGAGTAAGGCCCTTAAAAGCCAGGCTTGGGGCTTTGTACTTTACTGTGAAGGAAACAGGGAGACACTTAAGGTTTCTGAGAAGTGGAGTGACATGGTTGAGATATGGCATGGAACAGAGGCTAGGAACTGGAGACACAAAGTCCTGGTTCAAATCTTGCCTCTGTCAGTTACTAGCCATGGGCAAGTCAATCAATCTCTTTGAGCTCCAGGCAACTAAGTTATAATGGGCTGTGAAAGAACTCCCTCCACCAATGAAATCTAAATCCTTGACATATATGTGATGTGACATGTTCAAAGAACTATATACTAAGGATATCTGGGCACCTGTGCGTAGGATGTATTGGAGGGAGAGATACTAGAGGCAGGGAGCTCTTAACAGTATAGAAAAGGGATGATGAAGACCTGAGCTAGAGCAGTGGCAGTGTGAGGCTGATTAAAAAAATCTATGAAACAGCTATTACCATGGTGCAATCATGAGGATTTGGTAACTGAATGGATGAGGGAAGAATGACATAAAAGGGTGAAAAATGTCTCCTAGGTTTCAAACTTTGGTGACTGAAGGGATGATGGTGCCGCCAACAGAAATATAGAAGTTAGATGTGGCTGGGTTTAGGATGGGGAGGGAGTAACAACCTTGGGAGGTTGGTGGGTGAGTGCTATTATTATCCCCATTTTACAACTGAGGAAAGTGAGGCAGACAAAGGTGAAGTGACTTGCCCATGGTCACCTAGCTGGAAAGTTTCTGAAGGCTGAATAAGAATTCAGATTTTCCTGACTCCAGGCCCAGTGCACAATCTGCTGTGTGACCTAACTGCCTCTCAATTCACTTTCTAGATATGTGACATTTACACTGTCTGTGAGAAAGCCAGGTGATGCCCAGCAGGGGAGGGATTGGAATTTGTGAGTCATCTGTGAAGAAGTTTTGGGGCTACAGGAGTATATGAGACAACCAAAGGAGGGAATATATAGAGAAAAGAAGGTAGAAGGATAGAACCATCAGGGACACCCATACTTTGGGCCTAGGAAGAAGGGCCTCAAAGGAGTCTGAAAAGAAGCAGACAGATAGGAGAACTAGGAGATATGAGTATCATGGAAGCCAAGGGATATAAAGGTGGGATGTCAATGTCACCAGGTGCCCAAAAGTCACGAATGAGGTGGTTAAGTTTCAAGGCTAGCTCACATAATCCCATAATGTAGATGAAATATACATTCAGGATGAAAACTAGAAGAAAATTCCAATGTTCCAGTTCTAATACAGAGAAAACACAAATGAATAAGCAACTATTTCTTTTAATGCTGGTGCTTAATTAAGGGAAATCAGTTCAGTCAGAGGGGTACAAAGAGGTAGAGGAAGACTTTTCTGGACATTCTGAACTGCAGAACACTTTTAAGTGCTTTAGAAGATTTGAACTTACAAGTTTAGAGCTAGAAGAGGCCTTAAAAATAAACTGATTTTATAGATGAGGAAAAATAAGATTCAAAGAAGTTTAAGTCACATTTCATACAGCTAGTTAGAGGTAAGTTCAGTAATAGAACTCAGAATCTCATTCATTTCCATCCCTCCTCAATTTAGGGTTTTTCAATTGGGATTGGGAGGATGAGGTATGGTTCTTGGCCACAAGACCAGTCACCTAATTACCAAATTTTGTAAAATAAAAGTTAGACTTTACCTTACCTCTATGAAAACAATATCCAACATGATGATATATTAAGCTAATCTGAAAAAAATCCAAGTCACTTCAGCTATTTGACTTCATTACTCGGCATTCAATAAAATCAGCCATCCACGTGCACTTCATTTTAGCTATCTTGCCAGCCCTTTTCTGCACGCCTCTCATGGAAGCAGGTGAAGGTCTATAATACTGGTGAGAAGAAAGAATAAACTGTTCACACCCCCATCAGGAAACTTCCCCACTGTGAGGTAAGGGAAGAATGACAAGCAAAGAACAAAGTAGTTACACAATGTTCCTTATAAAACCAGACAGCCAAACAGTTTCAAAATAAAGTATCAGAACTTAACCCACTCCTAGTCTGCATTCTCCCCCCCCACCATCACCTCTCTACTCCCCCAATGGAACAACCTTTCAAATGCTTTCTTCTGGCTGATGAAAGTCACATTCTCTGCACTGATGTGCCCAGATTTTTAATTTGACTTTGGTTAAAGAAGTGACACCTGCCTCTTTTACTATCATTTATCTTGGGTTATTTTCTCCTGTATCCAAGCATTTTCACGAAGGTTTATCCAAAATTCTAAATAGTTCTCTCTCCCTGAATTCTTCTTAGATGCTACAACTTTCAACTGGGGGTTGGGATACCTGTGGTCTAAGACCCAGCTGCCATATACTAACTAGCTTTGTGACCTTGGGTGAATGACTTACTTCTAATTTCTCTGGGTCTCAGTTTCCTCATCTATAAATGAAAAGGTTGGATCTGACGACTTGTAGGGTCCCTTCCAGCTCTAAAGTTATACACAGAGGGACAATGGATTTTAGAGCTAGAGGTCCACCCTTGCTACATTCATCACATTTCCAACGAGGATTAAAAAAATACCTACATATAATTGTATCCTACTTTGTATCAATGTCATATACATAAAAAAATCTTGTTTGGGTCATTCAATAAATCATAACATTCCATAGTTTAATACTAATAACAAGAACCTAAGTGATCATTTCCTGAGTTAACAGTGCAATGTAAAATTCAGACTGTATTGCTAAGAAGACATTTTACAGCATAGAAATGTGATCAAAGTGACCATTTACCACATAATGAATCATAAAATACTTATAATAGCGCCTTACAGTAGAACAGTGAATCATTTAAAAGTGATTCTATAACATTTTTCATCTAGAGCATTAAATACTGTCTCCATAATGAACTACCCAAATGAAAAGCCAACAGTAGTAGTAAAATCAGTCGAAATGCCAAGATAAAGTCTGACAAATGATGTTATTGAAGAGACAGCTGCATGTCACTGAAGAAACCCTAAGACTGGCCTTGTAGGCACCTTCTATTATGTGTATAAAAAAAAGTTTCCTTTAAAAAAAAAAATCCAAGCACTCAGAAACAGCTACATAAATTTGGCAAGATCCTGCAGGAGCTCTTCACTATGCAGTAAAACTATGGACCTCTTCTTGGGAAAAGTTAAGATCCTTCAGCAATCTGAAAGAGAAAACCAAAATGTATGTTTCCTTCGAGTCATCAGAAAGGAGAAAGGAAAAAGTAAAGTTAACAGTTTGTCAGTAACACCAGAACATCACGCCACTAAGAGATTCAGTCTGGCTAACCACTTAACCTGGACAAAACCTTTTTAAAACTATCCTTAAATTGCTTTAAGAGGAAAATAACGAAAACATTTCAGAAATGACTACCCACTCTATAAAATATATATTCAATATGCATAGCATGCTAAAGCCAAGTGGAAAAAAAGGGTATCTAAAAATATTTCCTAAGAGTACTCTTAAAAATGTCTGTTTTTCCTTCACCTCTTGTTGTTCAGTCACTTCAGTTGTGTCCAACTCTTTGTGACCCCATTGGGATTTTCTTGGCAAGGACACTGGAATGGTTTGCCATTTCCTTCTTCAGGTCATTTTACAGATGAGGAAACTGAGGCAAACTGACTTGCCCAGGGTCACACAGCTAGTTAACGTCCGAGGCTAGATTTGAACTCATGAAGATGAGTCTTTCTGACTTCAGGTCTGGTGCTCTATCCACTGCACTATCTAGCTGACCCAAACTCCCTTCTCCCTACCACCCCAATATTAAGGCTACCTCTACACTCATAGCAAATGTAGAAAAAAAACTTCTTAAACTGCAGCCAACTACCTGTCTTTTAAAAAATGTACAGCTTATTTTTATTTTAAAGTAGACAATAATTTCTAACACTCCCCTACTTATCTGTGTCCTCTTTTGAATTTCCTTTGGCTCTCTTCTGAGTATTTTTAATGTTTCATTAATGTCCTTTTCTTTTTCTTTTTTTTTTTGCATTAGTATCAATACCTCTTCTTCACTCTCTTAACAACTCTTCCTCCTGAACACCCCCACTCCCATCCCTCAAAAAAATCCCTCCCTAGCAACAACTATAGTCTAGCAAATCAGATTCTCCACTGGCTACGTCTGAAATCATAGATTTTAGTTTTCAATTCTAGTTCCACCGTCTATACGCCAAGAACAATTCAAATTCTTTCACTTTGACTTTTTATATGTATAATGTAATACAGAGAGGTTTAAATAATGCTGTAATTTAAATACAAACAACTAAGTCCTACGTGTAACTGTGAAGATTAATTATCTGCAATCAATTCAAAATCCTGGGCTGGTTTCTTGCTATCATCCATCACACTTCTAGACACCTCAGTTCCTCACCGTTCAGCTAAGGAAATGAAATCTGTTTTAATATGAGCCTAAACAAACTAAGATCAAAAAAGCAAATCTGCTTCAAGATAACCATTCTAAGGCCTAACAGAAGTTACTTTTGACAATGCAATGTTTTAAATTACCTAAACTAATGACCATTATTAACAATACTACAAACACACATGTAATTTGTATATTCCCACATATTGTATACAATATAGTCAGTTCAAAACATATATAACATATACATGTGTGTATAAACCACCATATGATTTAGTCAGCACAGGAAATTCCTGGTGTGGCAACTCCTTCCTCTAGGGTAAATCACAACCCACATGACTTAGAAGATAATGTTTTAGAAGATTTCCTGAGGCACACAGAGGTTAAGTGACTGAGAAAACTAGTAAGTGTCAGAAGCAGGGTTTGAAAGTAAGTCTTTCCTACTGCTAAACCTAACCCTAGTTATCACCATAGGGGATTTTTCACCATTTTTTGTCACGGACCCATATGGCAGTCTTATGAAGACTATGGACTTCTCATAACAATATTTGTTTTTAATTAATAATTGAAGAAAACATCAAATTTCAGGTTAGTGAAAATAAAAATGTAACGCTTTTCCCATTTAAGATCATAGATCTCCTGAAATCTATTCAAAGGGGTCCATGGACTATATCTTAAGAACTCCTATACCATATCATTAGCAGTGCAATGAGTCTAATATCTGCTAAGATGCATTCTCCCCAATAACTTATTTTAAGAACATTATTAATTACTCTTCACTGCAGATTAAAAGTTGTAGCATGGATCTGAAAAAGCATAGAATATAAACAACCATTTGAAGGAATAACATTATCTATTTTCAAATAACATCAATTCAAGAGGGAATATTCTAAAATTAGTCAAACCAAATATGAAATGAAAATTTTTTTGCAAGTCTCTCTATATGCAGAAATTTACTTACTTTCTTTGGACTAAAAAGGAAATGATAGTGACAAGAATTAGAAAAAGGTCTTTCACCTACTAGTTTCCACCTTTTTAATTACTGAACCATGAAATAAAACAGTTAAGATGGAACACTACTAATTTTGGTCACATAAGAAAAAAATCTAACTTTGTGTGGCATGTGGTAACAAGGTCAAAAGGTACACTTAGTTTTGGAACATTTCTCTTTTAAACTATTCATAAATTTTGCCTTTTTTTTTCCTTTGGTGAGGCAATTGGGGTTAAGTGGCTTGCCCAGGGTCACACAGCTAGTAAGCATCAAGTGTCTGAGACCAGATTTGAACTCAGGTCCTCCTGACTCCAAGGCCAGACAGAGCTCTATCCACTAAGCCACCTAGCTGCCCCTATTCATAAATTCTGAATGATGGATCTGTTTGTCTGAACATTTTCAAGCACTATTATAAAACAGAATCAGACAAGAGTCATTTTCAAATAGTCTTTTATGCTGTCCACTACTATCAATTCTTAATTACTCATGTACTGATTATTTCTGTGTATGGGGGGAAATTCATGTTTTTGCTCCTCCTTTTCCTCCTACTGCTTGGCTTTCAACCACTTTACTGTTTATTAGTATTTGCACCACTTGACAGTGAAGCAAAGAGCAAAGAACTAAACCACAAGTCAGCCTTAAGTTTTCCCTGTTGACATTTCTGTTAAAAAGTGTAGTAAGAGGCTAAAACTAAATGTCTAAAATGGGGTTTGTGAATTCATCTACATTCCTTTATCCTTTCAGCAGCTTGAATAACTGGAAGCAGGCCATCTCTTCTTTTCATAGTGAATAACATACTCTTTCTGCTCCCAACTCTGCAACTAATAATAACACTAGCTAACATTTATATAACTTGTAAAGGTTCACAAGGCTCTTTACATATTAATATATATAAAATGAGATAATTCTCATTTAATTCTCCCAGTTTTGTGAGGCTGATGCCATTATTGTCCCCATTTTACAAATGAGATTGAGGCTCAGAGAGGTTAAGTGACTTGCCCAAGGTCATACACCTCATAGATATCCAAGGAAGGATTCAAATTCAGGTCTGCCTGACTCCAGGCCCAGCACTCTATCCTTCATGCTAGAGACATCAAAGACATGGCCTACAACACTCCTAAATGTGGCCCAAACCAGCTTAAAACGTAATTGGGAAATACTTAACAAAATAAAAATATAATAGAATAAAATGTTAATATGTGGTTTTCTAAGTCAATATACACCCACAGGAAACCTTACGTACAATTTAGTGCCTTCATCACTCCACCCCATGTTTCCATTTAAGTTGACACCCCTACACTAAGCTATGTAGCTACCTCTTAATTACAACTGTATGATATAAAGATTAATTTTATTTTTTAATGGTTTTTATGGTCATTTTTTGTTATTCATATTTACCTTATTCCTTGTTCTGTGAAGGGTGCTGGCCCACAAATGCAGATGAGGACTCTAGAGTTTTCCAAGCTTCTTTTCACAAACTTAGAAAGAAGAGGTAATGAAATTCTTCCCTGTTTGCCCGTCCATTCACAAGTGGGCTCTGAGAGAATAAATTCAACTTCAAATCTACAAAAAGGGCACGATTTAAAAAAAAAAAGTTACACATTGTTCCTAAATATATATATATGTTCAATTCAACAAACATTTACTACATGTGTCCTATGTGATAGGCACTGTGCCAGGTGTTGAGGGTATAAACAAAACAACCTCTGCCCTCAAGGAACTTATATTCTATGGTATATAGGTGGTATGCAGATGAGTATACACAACATAAAATATTGTTAACCTAGAACGCTTAGGGATGACATATGTCAAAATAACATCCCCTATGTTTATGTAATTCTTGCCATACATTGTCTCACGTGCTATCCACAGTTATCTAGTACCATGCTTAGGACTTAGGGAGGTGAAGAAACTTGCTTAAGATCACAAAGGTAATGAGAGAAAAAGCCAGGACTCAAACCCCAGGCTTCTGAGTTTAAAGTCTTACAATAAGCCCGTCACTGTTTTCCTGAGCTTACTTTTCTTTTCTCAAATTTATTTTTATTTTTTTGTAGAGTAGGAAGTTTAAGGTGCTTCCCAAAGAATATATTAGGCCATTGAACAAATACTCAAAATCCTAAATCCAAGTTTACTGAACATGAGATTTTGTTAACATTAAGTAGAAATATTTTGCCTTTTTCTCCAAATATAACAAAAAACTGGTTCCAAGGGAATTCAGAACTCATATTTCTATTAATAATCTTTTACCAATTATAACAAATACAAACTACAAAATGTGAGCACAAAGGGTGACATCGTTAAAATGGAAAAAATAGTGGAGATAATTCATAATAATGCTACCAAATACTCAACTATAAGAAAGCTAATTCTCTCAAAGGCACAATGAACTTGTTACTTGAATTGCTAGTCAATAATATAATGAATTTAAAATACCAAGTTATGCCTGAGTTCTTTTGATCCATTTCAGAAAAAAAAATTAATTGGTATTACCACTATGTTCATTTCAATAGCAGTGAATCAAATCTGCTTCTAAATGAACATTTGGACTGATTGCTGAAGAGAGCAGCAATTGCCTTCTTGACAATCTAAATCCCAAGAAAAACCGAAGTCAATAGTTTTCATCGTTGCTGAGCCAGAGTACTGGCACCATGGTTTTATTACCAGATTATTAGGCCCTTCTTCATTTTACCAAATGTCACAGAAAACTGATTTTTTTTCCACAATGTTCCAAATGCCCAGGGAATTGGTTAGACTTTAGTGAATAGGAAATACATGTTCTTGAAAAGGTGATGCTTCCAGCAAGACTGTCCAACTTCATATCAGCCCTTCCCATAAAAGTAATTCACCTTATCTTTCTTGCTATAGCAACTCATTCACAAAGACCAGGATTCAAAATCAATTTAAGATACTCAACTGAAGGAGCAAAAACAATACCTTTTAAAATCTGCCACTTAAATACAGAGAAATATAGATGCTTCCCTACATGAAGCAACAGATAAATATTAATTAAGCACCTATCAAGTGCCAGGAATTTAGCGAGGCACAGGGGATTCAAAGGCAAAAATGAACAGCCTTTCCTCTTAAGGAGTTTATATTCTATAGAAGGTGACATATCCACACAAAAATATATTCTCTATATATGTATATATGTACACATGTATGTAGACATATATATGTGTCATATGTATATATTAACACATGCATACCCATATCTATATAAACACATGTAGGTATACATGTATGTGTATACACATGGATATATGTAAATATATATACAATACAGTTAGAGCTGTATTACATACATATAGTTATCCTTTCCACATTTTGACTTTTCCCATTGGGGTTTCAATATATCACAGGCTGGCATAAGAAATTGAATAGGATTTTTTTGGGAGTTTTGTGAAAGCCAGCAGACAACACAAAAATGCATAAAATATATGTAGTATTGTATATTAATACCCCATAAAAGAAAAAGAAAAAATTCAGACTTCTTCTCTGGTACGAAGAGAGCGCCAAAAAGTTTTACTTGGATTTTCCAGATCATAGGGGCACTGTGTCCCTAACCGCCAAGATATGGAAGTGATAACTATATATGATTTTTGGAAGGGGAGAAAAGCACATGCAGATAGATAGTTTGGAAGAGATCTTATGTAGTAGTGTCTGACCTGAACTCTAAAATAAACTAGGAATTCTTACTACTTCCTTTTAAGAAGTTGTAGTAAAAAGGCAGTACAAGGTATAACAAAAAGTTGTACCATGGTTCTATTAGTAGGCTGTACCTAGGCAAAGGTATGGAAAAAGGAAAGGAAATTTAATGTGTAAAGAAAAACAAGAGGGCTAGTTTGGCTGAACCAAAGAGTAGGCAGAGGGCAATAACATATAAGGCTAGAAAGGTAGGTAAGAAAGAGATTGTAAAAGGCTTAAATGCCTGAGGAGTTTGAATTTAAATGGAGAAGTAATAAGAGGCCACTAGAGTTTACTGAGCAAAAAAGTGACATAGTCAGACCCCTGATTTAGAAGTATCACTTTGGCAACTGAGTGGAGGATGAATTGGAAAGGGAAGAGACATGAGGTAGGGAGACCAATTAGAAGGCCAAATAACTTTTGATGTATTAACAATAAAATGTCTATAAATTCTCTGTTCTGTTTTCCATGAGGCTATCAAACTTGAATGAGCTACAAAACTACCAGAGAGTATACATTACCATCAGTGTTGCCTGTATTGGCAATAGGTATTTATCTATTATATTTATCTATTATACTTATCTCTGTATTGGCAGTAAGAACCCACAGGTACTTTCTATTCTCAGAGTGCTAATAAAAACACTTAATCAATGGCATATTCTCAAGAGCACTCAACATCAAAATGTTGTTTCTCTTATACTCAAAAACTAGTAGATTTACTCACTCAATGCATTTTTAATGTCAGTTTTTGAGTCCCAGGGGTCAAAATATTAGAAGACACCCTGTTTTCCAGAGCTAAAGCTCAGCAAGCAAGCTCTGCCCTGAGTTTGGCATAACAATAATCCTCTGCACTCACCCTCTTGAGATGATCTCAGCCACAGCAAAATCCCAGAATTGTTTCATATAATTGTTGTATTGATTTCACCAGCACCAGGTGTTCTTTGAGCTCGGACAAGTTCAGACAAGCACCCATGTTCTGGTCATGAAACCCTGCTATGAATCAAACTTATCTCACTGTTGCTGTTACCATTCATTGTCAGGGCTATAACTCACTGTGTAGCCATTGGTACAAGTATGGAGATATCCCCACACTGCCTTGGATCCCTCACTAGGGGCAGGGACCCGGCACATATGTCTAATCTGCCTCCTTATTTACAAGCTATTTCCTTCACTTTGAAATTAAACTTCTGTTTGATTCCTGACTTTCCCGCTTCCGGCCTGCTCTGTTGGACTCTAGCCATCCACAGGTTAGAGGCTGGTTCCATCTGGTTGACATTAATTGGTGTCAGAAGTGGGACTGGACATGGAACCAGGCCATTGGACTCTCCAGTACTAGTGGGAACGGACCAGGCACCATGGGAGATTGATTTCTCCAGAGTCCGACCCCATCCTCGTCTGGTGAGTCCTCTGTCCTTGCCCCTGCTCCAATCCTCCAAGCTCCAGCCTTGGTTGAGCTCAGTGTTCTTTGTGAGGAAAAACTCTAGGGTCCCTCCAGTGGCCTGGTTCATCTCAGATCACTCTGGTAAAGATATTCTTTCTTAAGCGGCACACCCCTGTTAACTGGCCTCTCTGTGTGCCTCTGCTACTTTTAAACTGCATGCCTCTGTAAAATTACAACTGTGTAACTCTGTTTTTTTTTAATTGCATGCCTCAGTAACTACGTGCCTCAGTCAAAATAGTTAAAATTAGAATTGTAATTGTGGGCTTTGTAGAATTTCATGCATGTTTGTATCTTTGCTGTCATTTTGTCTGTGTTTGTGTGTTTGTAAAATGTAAAATATCTGTGTTGTGTTTGTGTTGTGAGCTAGATTCTATTACCTTGAAAGATTTAAAATGTAGTCAGCCATAAAAACTTCTAAGGGCTGTAGCCAGAGAGTTTAGAACACTGGGAAGGATTAATGAATTTTCATGGTTGAAGCAATTGTCTCAGGTAAGCAGGACTAATTCCCACTTTAGGTTTTCTGTGGGAGATTAGCTTATAAGAAGAGAGAAAAAGAAAACATCTGCAAGACACTTTTTTTTCCTGTCATTTCATCTTTGGCTATGTTGGAATTACAAAAATAAAGTCAGATAATCAAAGTTTGAGGAACTACTAAAAATATCTTAGCAGATTTTGAAGGTTTGGAGATTTATAAATTTTAAGACTGTAGGACAGAACTCCTGAGACTTTGGGGTAATTCCAGGAACTCACTCCCTTCTAAAATATCTTAGTAAGTTCTGGGGTACCACTCTGTAGAATGTGTTTTAAGGAAAAATAAGGATTAGATTTTATAAAAGTTTTAAAAGTAAATGGCAAGACTAATAGCTTCATTGTTCTAGGGCAATGAAGGAAGGCAGCTAGTTTGGAAGTAATCCTACAGTGAAGAAAGGAAAAAAAATAGGTAAATGGTTTGTACCTTATAGCAACCTCTGGTTAACCCTCTCTTGACATTTCTAATCGTGAAAAGAGAAAAGACTGTTTAAATCAAAGGGATTCCTGTGACTCTCCCAGATCAAGAGACCCTCTCCCTGTTAATCCCTCTCATCCCACATCAGATTCCCAAATCCAGGTGTTGTAAAAAAAAAAAAAATGCCAGAAAAATGTAGGGAAACTTTATGTTCCAGTTGCAGAAATTTATTAGCTGTGTAATCTTAAACAAGTTATATTATCTCTATTTACTTCAGTTTCCTGATCTGTAAAGAGAAAACTAATAATGGTACCCGCCCTTCCAGGGTTGTTGGGAGGATCAAATGATACAATGATTGTAAAGTGCTTAACACAGTGACTAGCATATACTAAGCACTACATAATTTCTTGAATTCAATGTAATTGTTTCATACCTGATCTAAAGTGGTTTTAAAATGCCCAAGGTAATTAACAAAATCGATGATCTTTATAT